ATGTGCTAACAGTACGTTCCCTCCTTTTATGTCTCCTTGAGTTGCAAGTGACATTTTACCTCTGTTTTGCATTATTCGCCAAGCAAATATGCCTTGCTACATACAGAAGCAGAAAAGAAATGCTATATAGAGAATTGTAGAAGATAAAGTAAACCTAAATGTTATAATACCAATAACTTGCTGGATCAGGTGGTGTCTTTTTTTGTGGGTAGCAAATACAGTTTTGGGGTGCTGTAGTTAGGATCAGCTGATTATATTGCACTGGAAGTTGTGTCTGAAGTTTGATGGACAGTGTGTGGTTTAAATGGTGTTTCTCAAGTAACTTTTGTGCACAAAATTCAAGAATCATGTGTTACTAGATTCAGCAAGCAATATTTGGTTGGGAGAATTTCTGGCTTTTGAACTATTACGAAGCCATAATACTTCAAAGGCTGTATATTTGCAAATGAGTGATAGATGGAGTGTCACAGATATTATGGTTATTTATGGTTATCAGCTAAACTGCTGGCATCAAGTTAGGGGTACTCCATAACTAATGTACTTTTTTTGGTTTTCTTTTTTGAACAACTGGGAAATTAAATTTTTTTGCAAGCTGATTTTCACACTGAGTGTTCTTTTAGTGCCTACCTTGTGAAGCTGCTTTATGGGACATACATGATGGAGTTTGTCACCGTCCCATAACAATTAGGCATTCAATCCTCATCTTTGTTTGACATGAACATTTCCACGTATGTTCTTGGATGTATTTGTATTTTTATCCTGCTATTTTAAATGCCAAAGAAGATTCTGCTTTTCTTTCCCCTCTCCCCCCCAGTACAGAAGTGTTAACTATGTGCATTTGGAACTGTAGGCATCTGTCTACAGATGTCAGGGCTTCTGGTTACCTATAAGCTGCAGTATTATACGCTGGAACAAATGTATCTCTTTCCATCTGTTTTCTGCTTAGGCAGTTGCAGTTTAAAGGAAGAAAGCTATTCCTTCTGCCTAATGCTGAGTTATTTGATTGGCATGTCTGATAAAGCTTCCTTCACAACAGTTAGTTTATACCTTAACAAATACCTTTAGATGTTTTTTCTCTTTTACTAGATTTTATTCCCAAGCCTCATGTATTGTCTTACTGGCTATATATCGGTATTTTACTTTTTCTCAAACCCTCTTTCCCCTTACATCTTTCTCTTTTAAACATTAATATATTCTACCTTTTCATAGCGTGTTTCATAGAATCATAGACTGGCCTAGGCTGGAAGGGACCTTAGAGATCATTTAATCCAACCTCACTGTCATGGGCAGGGACGCCTCTCAAGCAGATCAGGCAACACACGGGGACCAAATGGGGATCGAACCCGTGACCTTGGTGTTATCAGCACCAAGCTCTAACCAACTGAGCAATTCTTCTCTTAGTTTTTTTTCCTGTCCTCTTGCCTCTTCTGGTATCCCGCTTCCTTTTATTTCCTTCCCCTTTCATGACATACTCATTCATGTTAGTAAGAGCACATCTCTTCTGCCATCCTGCCTTGGGAGAGGAGAATTACCAGCCACCTGAGAAGCAAAGTAAAATATGGCTTCTGCTGACAGAAGGTGCACATGCAGGGCAGGTCCTCACACATCCTCCAGGCAATGTCGTGGGGCAAAACTTTTTTCACCTGCCACTCTCTCAGAGCTCGAAGTCCCGCAGGGCTGTTGACCATCAGTCCTCCAGAGCTCTGCTTCTGCTGGGTCTGTTGTACCTTTTGTATTCGAAACACTGAATCTGGCAGCTTTTTTCCTCAACCCTCTGTGTAGAGACAGAACAGTTTATCCTTTTCTTTATTTACTCTCCACCACCTTTCTATTTTTGAGTCTTTTTTGCCAATAGAGTTAACAGGAGTCTTTCAATATTTTATTATTCCAGAAGAAAATGCTCATGTAGGCTTTATTTAAAAGGTGTCAGTTCCAATGAAGTTTCAGCTGGAGATCAGGAAAAAAGGCAAAAATGAAAGAGACTGTTCTGTTAATGCGAACTACCATGCTTTAACCTTTTCATAATACAGAAAAATGTTCATTTGAAGGAGCATTTTAGTTCCTTTTCAGAAAAATTATTTTTAAAAAATAGAAAGTTAAGACATTTGATCAAGCTGGGTCAGATTTTATTCAAATTTTATTTGATTTATTTATCAAAATTATTTATTTATTTATCAAGAGGGATATTGTCTTAGACTTTTCAGGTTTTGTTTTGCATTAGAATAGAGGAAAATGCTTCAAAAGATCTATTTTTCTTCTTTATAGGTCCTATAGTTGAACATGTTACTGCTCAGAGTTTACTCACATATATTTGAGGCATTTGTTTTTGAGGTCTCAGTGTCACGAAATGTACTTGATTCTTGCATTGTTTCAGGGCTGCCTTATTCCCAATAGCAGCAACAAAATCAGCAATGTTGTGATGAGCATTTTCTCTGCTATGTCTTTGAAAGATGTACAAGCTAGCATGGAGTAACTGGAGCTGTCTTGAAAGTGAGAAAGATGACACTGCATCACTTTGCACTGTGGTTCATATTTGGAAGGTTTGGGTTTGTGCAATGTTTTTTCCTACCCAGGAGAAAGCAAGTTAAAATGTTTCAAAAATATACTTGCCAAATGGAAGTTTAGATGGCGCTGAAGACTCTGGTATGCGAGTTTCAAGCTCTGCTGAAAGTCCAAGCTTCCTTCCCTTTTCTGTCTCTTTACCATTCAATCCACAAGATACTTATTCAAGCAAAGGGCTGATACAGCCCTTTTTAAGGAGCTGTAACATGAGCTGAAAATCAAAGAATAGCAGTTCTGTAACAACTGGATCAGTGTACATAGGAAGAATTTCAGTGATGATTATTTATTCAGTCTCTTACTGCAAGATTAGTCGCATTATGTGGCTCCTATGCATTCCTTTCCAATTCATTCAATTTAAATAAAAACTTCCTGCTAGCACTTATGTATATATCAGTGACAGTCATCCAAATAAAATATCCCAGGTACTTGAGTCTCAGGAACAGTCTTACAAAGTGGCAGATCATATTCTATTTATTTAGAAATGGGATGCATGTTGACATAGAGCTTATTTCAAAATAATGTCAAAATGTTAAAATCTTTATGAAAACTTAACATTAAATTTTATGAAGACAGAGACATTTGCTGAGATGTGATGCTGAGGGCTAGAACCAAAATCAACTGCTAAAGATTAAAAAACTGCAACCCTACCACAGGAGGGAGAGGATAAAACCACATACTCAGGGTAATCAGACCTGGGTTTTTTTTTATAATTTTTGGGGTTTTATTGCCTGATGTTTGTTATATAATATGATTTATATACAGTGCTTCTGAATGCTGTATTAAATTGATAGCTCTTGCTGGGTGAACACGCAAGTATTATCTTTCTTTTCTTTAAATGTGCTGAATTTTGTCTTAGAGAAGTCTGGCAAGTTTTTCCTCCCAGTCAGAGGTCTGAAGAAAGTGAGTAAGTATGGATAAACCCAGCTTGGTTAATCATCACTGAGACACAGGAAAAATTAAAATACGTTTTTTGCTTGTAAAGTAGAAAAAAGCAATAAAAACAATGCCAGACGGTTAATGCCTCTCTTGTACCTTTCATTTCAAAGACCTCAAAAGAACATCAAGAAGAATAAAGGCAAAATCTATTCCCTATTGGCATCATTATAAATGTTGTATCCTCTAAAACTCTAAAGACATCCAAGAAGAGTAGAAGAATAAATGGCATTGAAATAAAGGAAGTCTCTCTGGAGCTTTGTTCAATCGGCTTTGTTAGAATTCACTCAAATAGGATGATTATAAGAAAAGATCTCATTTGTTTCAACATTAAAGGAGAAAATTAATATGTGGTGAGCTGCTAATAATTGCCTCATTATGTAGTGAATGGGCATTGCATCCAATTTACAAAATTACAATCATATTGTTAAAGTAACAATTGGGAAAGTTTAATCTGAAATTCCTAACTATCTGTATGATTAGTTGAGGGACTCATGGGGTGAAGCAGAGTTGGTGGTTGGACTGAGCTCTTCAGCGCACCAGCAGCCTGGAGTGCGAAGAAGACGCAAGAGAAATTCAGCTTTTTATTAGTGTAAATTACATCTGCTTAGGACCTGAGCTAGATCTGGTCCAGCTGAGGAGTGAGCCTGGCAGTCTCTGCTAACATGTGAGCTCGACATGTGAGTGCTCTGCCAAGACATTGTTTTATTGGACTCCACTGACTTGTGCTGAAATACTGGCCAAAAGGTTAAGAGACCTGGGCTGAGGTCATCCGTTCTCGGGACTTCAGCAGACCTATAGGTGTGTGTTTGGGAAACTTTATGATCCAGGATCTGTGCCATTGGGAAACCCACTCATACAAACTGTAGCTGGAATTTCAGTCTTGGTGGAGACATTCAAATGGTGGTGGAGCTGTTTCAAATTGGAAAGTAACCAATTTTCCAAATATTGAAGTCCTCTGTGGAAGAGAATTGTGTTTTCTGACCTACTTCTGGTTAGATTTGCTTGTGACCTTTTCTAATTCTGGCTGGTTTTGTTATTTAATGATTTGACCTTTGATTCTGTGAAGCCACTCCAGTGCTAAATACGAAGATTTAATAACTAGAACTGTTTGATAAGTGACCTTTCTTACACAGCTATTTCTCTTTCCAAGAGAAACGGCACTGTTTTGCAAGTTCACAGTTTTAATTATCTTTTCTATTGTCTGTAAGCTTGCACAGGAAATGGAAAGGTCAGACATTTCATTTTCTTTACTGATTAAAATATAAGTGCTCCTCACCAGTTACAATGTATCATTCAGGGAAAAGATGGAACAATTTGTCAGAATCATGCCCAGCTGCTCTGCTGCGGACTTTTACATCCTTCTGGTCAGCAACAAAATGAATAATTTTCCAGAAGCAATAATAGCTCGGCCCCTGTGGTGTTTAGAGGTGAAATACATGGCCAAATACATGAAAAAAGGTGAATGGTTCTCTGTATTCTTTTCTGTAGTTTGTATATCTACAATGCAGGTGAGCGAAGATCTTGTGAAAGGAACAAGTAAACCCTTAATTGATGTTCTTGGTCCAGAGGTCATAAACAGTAACGGCACGGGTATCTGTATGGGACTGCCGGTCTGTATCAACCCTATTGCTGCTGGACCACCTCTGCAGATAAGAGGGCAGCCTGCACTGCCTGCCAGACCCATTTTTGGTTTCTCTGATAAGGCTGCTGATGATTTAGTGTTTAATTGCTATCCTGGTGTTCGTGATGTTGACACCTGTAAACAGATAGTATCAATTGTGAAACAGATTACCAAGGAGGCACATTTCCTTTAATTTTCCTTTTTTCATCTCTCTGTATTCCAGTTTCTGCGGGTAAGATTTTGTTCTCTGCTTCTGTTCATCTTTAATACAAAAAATACAGCACGTTAAATGGAAAAGCGATTGTTTCTTGTACAGGTTAGAGTTTTCATAGGCAACCTTACAGCCAAAAATCTGCATATAGGAAAAGGTGTGAGTGATATGGGACCCCAGAGTATGGGATGGGGGGCAGCAACAGCACATCACCCAAACTCCTCACAGGTCCTAGGGAGCTGTCAGCTGTGTCCTATTTCAGTGGCAGAAGTAGCAGTCACAACTACCCAGGGGCTTGCCAGTTTCAGACCCTTGGGCACCCAAATCCCTGTGCTTGAATAGCTCTGATGAGAGCCACCTGACAGAGGAGCTACGTTTGAGCAGCTTTTGAGTCTTAAAGTGATGGGACAGCCATCACTGAGCCAGGGTGTAGTAACAAACAGCAATGTCATGTTAAATGAGAAAAATAGGAAAATTGTATGTGGATTACTGAAACCGTCCCTTTTAACTGTGATACTTATAAAGCTGCACTGTAAGCTGCTGGGCTGGCTCTGTATGGGGGTTCAAAGAATAAATATTGATCTGTGTTTTCTCATATGTTGAGGAATATATGATGCAAAAAGTTACTGAAGTCAATGAATAATTCTGGAGTCAGTCTGTCATGAGTGTCAGTCTCCTAACTCTCTCTGGGATCTCTGTTGGGAAATATGCATATTAGGACATATAAAATTTCTCTACATTGTAAAAAATACTTATTCTGAGATAGGGCTGGGAGGGGTTAAGCCTCTACTGAAGAAGAGCAGATTATATGTTGGCCTAGTGCAGGCATTCAATATTATGAAAGCACTTTATAAATTGGAACAAGATAAATGAATCACAACAAAAGAGCTAGAAAACCAAGGGACACAATTGCACGAGTGAGTGTACTCAGTTTATTCGAGCAGAACAGTTATACTCAGTGAATAGAAAATGTGCAATGCATTTCTAACTAAGGTCAGAAAATCAAACAATTCCAAATTTAAGATAGCAGCTCCATTTTAATGGCAAAGGAAGAATATTGTGGGAGAAAAAAAAAGAAAAAAAAACACCAAAAAACAACAGTAAGATTGGGACAAATTTAAATGGGACGAGATTCTTGACCAAATTGGCTTTTCCTATCTAGCAGTTTCATATTCAGCATTTGTTAGTTTGAAAGTTCACCCTGTAAGCTATAAATTAATCTACTGGGACTTTAACAATTCACTTCATGTTAGGATGTGAGTTATGCTTATGGATTTGTTTAGGTCACCCAGCCATGTCCTCATAATGTATCTTAGAGAGGATTTCTGTAACTAAGCAGTAAACAGAAAGACTGTTGTGTTCAGCTGCATCTCCTGGGATTTCATCCCTGCTGTCAGAGCTGTGCGGGACAGCTCTCTAAAACTGCAACAGCTATAAAAACATGCATGGTGTTCTGTAAAGGAAAAATTGCCAATGCTTTTGCATGCAGGCAGGAATCTTTAACTCTTGATGAAAAGAGGAAAGAACTTTCTCATCAACTACTCACACGGAGAAATCAAAGCAATCACAATAGAAAAGTCAAAACTTTTCAGTTGTGAGGTGTATTGCAGAAGTCTTGCAGAATGCACCTGAGTTCAGTAAAATATTTGTCACTCAAGGATGAGATATTTTAGCTGTTATAATTAGACTCTCTTCAGGTGTTTATCTCTCATCCTTGTATTATGCACCGTTATCAAAGAAATTTGATGTTTTGTCAGCTACCATATCCTGAGGTTATAGGGGTCAAATGTAACCAGGATATTCATCCATGTCAGCCAAGTGACGTGTGATTTTGAAGGGAAATAACCGCAAGTCTGATCAGAAAAGCACGTAGCATCCTGTCAGGTTAAGTGTCTGAAGATCATGAGAAGAATTATTCATAACAAACATTAAACTTCAGTTGGGAAGCTCCAATTGGGAGCATGCCTCAGGGTCAAGTCTGTGATTGTAAAATTGTAGATGATCTGTGGCCTGGACTGTATTCTGCAGGTTTTTTTTTTTTGATGAAACTAGTTTTCTTTTTGATCAAATTTCTAACCAAATTTTAATACTTTTAATACAGGCCATTTCCTTTCTGTCTGGTACAAAAGAAGCAGAAGACATTTGCTATTTATACTCTGACAAATGGAACATCAGATAGGTCCCTATATCTCTGTTAGACCGGTAACTAGTCCAATTTTCACTTCATACTGGAGAAATAGTGCCCTAGGACGTGGTCAGGAAATACTATCTTTGACTTCAGTTTGCCCAGGATTAATTTCCTGGTTTGCATGTCACCAGTCCATCTGCCTCTCATTTTTCATGGGTCATAACCGTCCTCTGGTGAGCACAACATAGTCCTCTGTCTACATCTCCTTTCCAACTGCAGGTTTTTCATACTGTTAGATTGCTTTATAGCGTTACATCTCACAGCTGATTGCTACAACAAATTTGGGAACTATTCATTCAAACATAAACACAATCAGTGTAGAGTTAAATTTCCAGCGTTACATTTTCTGTACTTTTTTCCTATTGTTAACAAGACCTTGTTAAAAGAGAAGGCAGCATTGATCTACATATTTATTTTTCCTGCTTCTTTCTTTCATTGTTTTCTAGTGGAAAGAGGTGAAAAAGGAAATTTAGAGATGAAAAAGGAAATACTATTTTTCTAGTGGACTTCACAAGGTGGAGAACAAAGGAAAATGTTGGCACCGCCTTTTTCACTAAAAAGGATTGCATACAGAGTTTTGTAGTGGTAGACATTTTTTACCAGCTCTACTTCATGGGGATTAAAAGGAAGTATTGCTATTAATTTGTTGAACTGTGCCCATCTTCACTGAATTTTCAGTCTTCCTGTTTTACAGAGAAAGACTTGCCATATATTTTTGTTTTCTTTCTTCCAGCCTCTACAACTTGACTGCAACCTTTGTGCCATTGTGTCAAATTCGGGACAGATGGCTGGCCAGAAGGTGGGAGCTGAGATAGACAGGTCTTCCTGCATATGGAGGATGAACAATGCTCCCACAAAAGGCTATGAGGAGGATGTTGGGCAGAGGACAACCGTGAGAGTGGTCTCTCATACAAGCGTGCCTCTCCTACTCAAGAATCCTGAGTACTTTTTCAAAGAAACCAACAACACTGTTTACGTGATCTGGGGACCTTTTCGAAACATGAGGAAGGATGGAAATGGCATTGTGTACAACATGCTGAAGAAAACTGTTGACAGCTACCCAACTGCCAAAATCTACGTGACAACAGAGAAGCGCATGAGTTACTGTGATGCAGTATTTAAGAGGGAGACAGGAAAAGACCGGTAAGTCCTAAATGTGAAGAACAATTATAATGCTTGACAAAAGATACATGAAAAAAGTCGATGCTGGATGCCAGCTACTAAATGAGTCCCCAGATATGTTTTTAATGGATTGTTATATGATTTTGACTGTTATAAGCACTTGATGAGGCAGCAGCTAGGCCCCATTTACCCCACCTACGCTACCTTCTGTTCTTTCCATTTCTGTTGGCTTGAGTCCCAAAAATATTGGATGTCGTCCTGAAACATTTTCAAATCTGTGTGTTGTTTTCAGCTCAATTTACTATTGATTAAATTGACATTTTATTTGAAGAGGATAATCCTACACAAACAACATTTCCAAATGCACAACCTTAGGATAACTCTGGATGGTTTATTCTCTTTTCTGAGATTCACTTTTCTTCAAACGCAAACCTGAGGGTTCTGTATTGTTCCTATATCTTGCTGAAAATGAATTATCAGTGATACTGTAATAGATTTAGGTTTTTACCAGAATTATGCTGAAGTTCTATTTTCCATTCCTGAGAATGTGTGTTTATGCTGCTCAGGTCATGCTTGTAAGGAGATGAAAGTGTGAGGGCCACAGCTTCGGCTAGCATTTTCAGAGCAGAAATTGGATTTGTGGAATTAAGACCCCAATTCGCAGGATTTTGTAGCTGAGCTGCAAAAATTCCAATCCATCTGTGTTTTGGCATGGAAGAGCACCTGTCCTGCAGGTCTAACTAGAAGGGAATTTCCAGGTCACTGCTGTGCCTTAGTACTAGTTTTTGAATTTGCACATCATGAATTTGCAGTTGTGAAGAACCATAGCTATTCTAACCAAATTAAAACTACAGATATTCACAAACACCTTAAATTAGTCTCAACTTATGACTTAGCTTTTGAAGTAGAAGGCCTTGTTCTCTCAGACTTCTTTGACTCACTTTGTTATTAAAACTGGCAAAACTTGGTTAGAGTTGTTTTTTTTCTTTTTTAAAATCTATTGAAACATAAGGAGGAACTTGCCTCTCAGCTTGTTCAGCATGTGCACATGTCGCTGCTGCAGTTCTGGAGTCTGAGGGAACGCCTGTATGTCCTAAAAGTGTCAAGGTTACTGTGTCAGTAGGTGTCCTGGTGATTGTTTAATTGAACAAGATATTTCTATGAAAATGCTCTCTAATAATCCAAGTAATCCAGTTTACATATTAATAGAGCTGAATATGATCATGGGTATGGTATTGCATTGTTAAACATAAATTTGTTTATATTTATGACTCATTAACCATCAGTCAGGTCACAGTGATTTTACAATATGTTATCGAAAACCTTTTTGTGAGACCAGACCTTAGTATATCCTTTAAAAAAATCTCATCATCCAGTGTCAGAGAATTTTCATCTCCGGCTTAAGCAATTCCTCTTCCACAAATTAACACATCTCAAAGTTTTGTTACTATACAATTAACACAAGACAAATGCGCTTTTTTGACGTCAAAGGCAGATTGAACTTCTGTTCTCCCAGTGCCTTGGAACAAAGGTCTTAAGCAGCCTAATGTTAAAGTGGCACAATTTCTTTCTTCGTAATACATTACAACCACTAAAAACTTCACATTTCAAACAGCAGCAAATTGTGGAGAGTCTGCCTTGTGACCCACGTCACGTTGTGTTTGCATGTGCCTCCCTTTAACACTGTGGAAAAGAAAAACACCGTTGCAACTTTTTTTTAGTCCTACTTTTCCACATCAAATACTAAGTGGTGCTTTTAACATCATTTAGTGCTCTTGTCAGCCAGAAAAAAGGGAAACAATCAATGTGTCACCAGCCAACACTCTCTGTATCACAAGAAAACATTCTGCAGTTCCCTACTAATCAGGGGACCTCGGTTTGGAAACCGTTTAATTTTCTGTAACATCTTCAATTCACAGGACCCGTCTGCTGTTTCTAGGGAGGGTCTTGAGGCTGTTAGAGGTATGTGGCATTGGTGGAAGCAGTAAAGGGAGAGCACAAGAGATTTGTGGGTGATGAAAATAGCTTCATGTATTGTGCCAGACTATTATGATGCTGAGACAGATTTGGGTTCTTCAGCCAAATATTCCTTTAGGTCCTCAGAGAAACATCAACTCTTGCTTGCAATATTAGATTGAACAGAGGTCTGTTTCAACATGTTCCCAGCAAAAATTCATGAACTAAACCAAGTTCAATGCATATTTTAAAATGTACTGAGTGAATTGTAACCACATCTATTTTAGTTTAATCCTGAAATACTGTCCTTATGTAGAGAGTATGCTACTAATGTATAGTAGGTTTGCAACAGATTTCTAGTCTGTCAAGACTTTAATGAGCTTTCCATTTCTACTTTGTGATGTACCGTCTTTTTAGATAATTAGTGGGACTTTTCAGTAGTTCCATTGTAGTGGTGCTCAAGTTCTGAAGCATGTTATGAGAAGCAGCTGACAGGTAGGTGCTGCAGTCACTTCTCCACTGCAGAAAAGCTCTGGTCCTGCACCACTGATGTGGGCGCTTTATCCTTGACTTCAATGAGTGAATGTTCAAAACCTACAGCTTTGGTATTGACAAATGATTTATTATTGATTTGTGGAAGAAACAAGAATCACCTCTAAATAGCTTCCAACAAACAAGTTAGTTTGTTTTGCATTTTTTAGTTCTGCAGCAGTACAATATACCCTCTGATAGGGGCTATCCAAGCTGGAGAAATAACCTTGCATGTGGTATTATGAATCGGGGGGACATACATTCTTTCTGAGAGTCTTCATTAGGGAAGCATTTGAGTTGAAGGCAGAGAATGCTCATCCACTTTGAATAATTGTTGTACATAAATAATATTCATTACCAGACATTCACGGTTTTTCATTAACACATTTTACTTGGTACTTCTCTAGAGGGAGCATAAAGCTGGCAGCTTCTTCCAGTACTTTACTAATATTTTGGTATATTATATGTATTGAGTCAAGTGAAAGGATTTAAAGACACATTAGGTAATTACTAAATGTGGCATCTTTGTATGTACCTCAATCCAAGTAAGTGATTCTAAAGCCATCTATATCATTGCCATGCGTTAGAAATATAACACAATATGATATAACAACATTTAATTGGTAATAACGGAGAAAACTCTAGTCTTCATTAAAGCAGCAGAGCTAATTCTGGTCTGATAAAGTGCATCGAACAGCCCTAAATAGGTTTTAATTAGCTGGCACCAAAGCTGCACCACCCTTAGGGAGGGTAAAATTAATGAAAGCTAGCAGCAAATAGATCAATGCTACTGGATGTTATTGCCTTAGGTGAAGGTGATGAGGAGGAAAGGAGTGTCTTTTAAGCATCATTTAGAAAACAGTCTGCATTAAAAGTCACTTTCAAAAAGCAATAATAAAATAAATCTGCTAATATCAGTGAAACAATCTAATGTCATACAGACAGCAGGCTCCAGTTGTGCTTGCACTGCAGACACCCCAGGCTGACCGCTCAGCGCTGCACAGCCAGGCTGTGGCTCTGATGGCACAGCTCCCCGTCCTCGTGTGGGGCTGACGGTGCCATCCCACCGCTCCCGTCTCGCTCTGCATGGAGGACATTGAGCCCCAGCAAACAGCCCGTAATGCATGTGCTTTGCTGGGGAGATGTATTCTGAGCTCCTAAAATGAGATAATGTTCTGAAACCCAGAAAATTGGCTTTCCGCACATGTGGTCTTAATCCTGACAACACCCATCCCGTATCCAGACAATTCAATTCAACAACATTTTATTGAAATTATTAGCTATACAAGCATGTCTACAGGAGGCAGGTTCACCGAGCCACATTTGCAGTCAGGTGGTTGTATCTGAAGGGTTTTTGTTAGTATCTTTGACAGTTGTGCAGAAACTAAATTGCTTGTGTGCTTCTCTTCCAGAAGTTGTTTCTTCTGCTCATGCCAGATGGTGCTATGTGTTAGGTTGTTTTATCATTCGAGGCAGCAGAGATGGATCATTCTGATCACTGACTTCTGCATCAGGATTCAAAATTTGGGGGTGTGCTCAACCTGCTATTTTACTCAGTTCTACGCACTAATTATTTATTACTTTGGCAATATACGAGATCTATATTATATCTCTTGTCATTTAGAGCTAGCAAAATTATACTCATCTAAAGTTGGGATTGACACTGTTAGACAACTGCAGTCATCACAGCTTCACCTCGGCTAATATGTGGGTTTTGATGTGTCTGACTAATCTACTGTGGTCTAGTAAAAATATCATTGAAATGAATAAATGAAGTTGCATTCTCTGAGTCTCAAGTAACTGCAGCTTATGTTGTTTAGTTTTATTGCCTGTGAACTGAGGTAGTGAAGCTGCCAGTGGCCAGAACATCAGAGTTTTATGCCATCTTTCTGGTTGTTGGCTTGAATGAAGTATAGCAATGAAATTTTCACTTTTGCACATGCTTACATGTATATATTAGTTTCCCTATCAAGAGCATTCAGAGAAAATATAAAATCTTAGCTAGTGTTAGGTTAATATTTGCAGAAAGCAGAATTTCTTTTAGAAATTGTGAATGTCGACACTGAATCTGGCTCAGGGAGCTAGACTTTTGGGACTTGGAAAATACTTCTCCTCAGTGCTTTGTATTAACATGCTTTTTCTTAAAAAAAAGCAAACCCAAGAACGAATTCTGGAAGCTGAGTGAAAGTTCATTTCATTTTGAAAGGAAAATGAGCAGAGTTAAGGAACGTCAACATCTTTAAATTACAGAACCCTTGGAAGAAAATGATGGAAAAACTGATTCAGACTGACAGAGAAAAATGTATAATGCCTGTTGAAGCATTTTTAAGGACAAAAATGAGTTGTAGTTTGCATTTTGATATAGTCTTTATCATGATGTAGTGTCTACTGCTGCACCAATAGTCAGTGAAAAGTTCTGAACTGCCTCTAAGCATCACAGCAAACCCCAAAATACGTATTTGTTAAAATGACCATTTCTCAAGCACTTGACAGTGGATCTTTCTTCAGCCGTTGTGTGGCACTTCCATTCTTTT